TGAAGAATAGGAAAGACAGGAATTATTGCAAAAGAAATGCAGGAGTGAGAGGAGAGGATTTTATTAAAGAAGTTCAAGCTTTTATATACATTCAATGTTTCTAATGTTTCTTAATAAATGTATTATCAACTATCATTATACCTAACGCAGCCACAATACTGTACTATTCTGCAGTCAGGATGGGAAAACTCCATTAGCTCTTTAATAAAATAAAATCATCAACAGTCATCATGACTCTTCTTTTTGCCTGGTATTAACTAATACACTGGGAAGTCCAGTGAGTAGACACAACAGAACACAAAATCCTCAGTATTTATTTAAATGTATATCATGTGTCGTTTTCATATTATTTCTAAAGCAGCTTTAAAAAACTTTTGCTATTGGAAGGTATTAAAAAATAAAACCCATTCAAATTATCCTGGTAGTATAGCAGCACTGGAATTGACAGTTACTCTTTTACTACTTTTGACAATGTAAACCTTTAATAAAATAAACAATATTGAAACAATTTGAGGTCTAATAGTTTATCATGAACTTTAATGGGCGTATGGGCACAAATTGAAATGAAGACTAGATTGTGAAATGAAACATCAGTTTGATACCAGCCAATTCCAGTTCTGAAATTGGCTGCAGACAAGTTTGGCTTGGAAGCTGAAAAAAAACAAAGCCCACACTCAGTCCACAATATTCGGTTGCTCCCATTTAAAATATTTTTATATGAGCCCTACACAAGCATGCCCACTTCTGTCAGAAGCACTCCGAAAACATTGCAGGTGCTTTTTTTTTGATGGTGGGATTTTTCATTTTTCTTTAATCAAGCATAGTTCACATTTTTGTGTTCTTAGAAACTTTTCCTTTCTATGTTTCTATAAAATTAGAAGTAATTTCAAATTTGAAAGGTAAGCTAGCTTGCTCCATCTTTGCTCCTATAAAGTGTAGGTGCCACGACTAAATAGCAGTAAAAATGCTGAGATGTAGAACTCTTAAAAAAACAAACAAACAAACAAAAAAGCAGCTTTGAAGACACAACATCAACTACAGCCTTAACATTGAACATATTACATTCCCAAGTTAATGGACATATTTTGCATATAATGCCACAAAGTTATTCAACTGAAACCTTGAGGTTGAATCTACAGTTTAATCACTGTATTTTTTTTCATCCTTAGAGCACTTATGTATTGTATGGTACATTTTATCCAGAGTTTTGCAACCTTTTCTTTTTATGTCTGGACATCCATTTACCCACAAATCCCAGATTTCAAAAGTTTCATAGAAAAAATAGGAACGCTTGACTTAAAGATTTGAAGCTGGACATTTCCGTGCCTTGGAGCAGCCCGTGGAACACACTTCAGACTCTTCGGCTTCGTCAGGACTCCTGGCCCCTCCAAGCACACAGAAAGCCCTGCTTTAAAATGCATTGACACATCTTGTTTCAGAACACAGCTCTGTTTATAAAACTGTATACTGAGTACTCTGCATTAATTTTACTTGAGTTGCATTTCTAACATGAGCAGATGACTTCACACACACCCCGCTCCCCTTTTCCTCCACCCTGTTTTCACTTGAAATGACAGTAGGCACCTGCACAATCAAGGTGCCAAAGAGTCTCTGTCCAGAGAGAGGATTTGGAGTTTCTTCATTATCTTCTCTTCTGTAGACAGTCTTAGGAAATTATTAGCATGAAATAATTTTGAGGGAGAGGGGCAGGAGGATAAAGCTCACTTTCTCTTCCTGTTATGAAAATGAACTTGATTTTGGTGTCCAGTTTGATAAACAAGGATAGTCAGAGCTAATCTGTAACTCAGCTGAGGTCTGCTTCTTGCCAAATAAAATTAAGATCTTTTTCAACTTTCAGGGATTTAGAGACCGCATCTAATTGGTTTCAAACCCCTGGAGGAACTCAGTAAGTAAACAGGATTAGTTGCAGATATGAGCCCACTAAAGTGGGACACAGGTCAGGTCTTCAGATTCCAGCTCTGCTCTGTCAAAGCAGGCACTTAAGGTCTCCTGATGTTTCTGTGTCAGTAGCCGCAAAAAAATGTTTCACCACTGAGAAAATCATTGGAACAGCAATTTCCAGCAAGCTCCAAAGATTTAACTTCACACTTCTATTAAAAAAAAAGTATTTGAGTTGACATGTATTAGGGTATTGTGATTATGACATGATGGCACAACTGGTAACTTGAAAACGCATGTTTACAAGGCATAGGCAACCATATTTCCAACTGCTCTCCTGTAGGGATAGCCAGGTGTCCTTCAAGAAGTTGCCATCTTGACTCCACGTATGTACCATGCTGAATCGTTCACTCCATCAGTTCTTGCCAGCAGGACAGGGTGAGAACTTTGTTCACACTGACCTTGTCTTTCAGATCCCTCCCAGCCATCCAGAAAATGCAAGGAAAATCAACACAACTACGCAGCCTTTAGCAGCTCAAGTAACTGCCCTTGTAAGTGTAAGCAGGTAGGTCAGTATATTTGCTCTGCAGAGAAAAAATAATCCAGCCAGCTGCATTAATTAAAAAAAGAACCTAAAAGACTTTGAGGCTCATTAAAGTTAAGAATAACAACATGATGTGATGACAGATACAACTTGCAGAGTTTCTGAAAATAGCAGGTTAAAATGTAAATATCTCTTAATAAATAATTTTCCTGCAATGTAAAAATAAATGATATTTCCTTTGGCAGTAATAGCTGATTTAATCTTTAGCTGGGAAGTTGTTTTGCTCATAAAATATCATTGTGCTACAGAAAAAAAAATATTATTTTGTTGTTTTGAAAGACTTTTGTAATCCACGATAAACTGGGTGACTCTACTTATGTCCGAGATAAGCGCCAAGAGTGATGCAAGCTCCCACCAGAACCAGACTCAGGATAGTCTTCAGAGAGATCCAGGAGAAATCAAACAAAGGCCTCATACTGTTGCCATACAACTCCACAAAGGCATCCTAGAAAGGGAAATAACAGAGTATCAGAATGGCAGTAACTTTTTTAGAGGGAGGGCAACTTGTTCCTGCTCAGTGGTCATCCAGCAATCACATGGCACAAAAACCCCACACAAACCTATTAAAATAGTGATTTTGGAGCTACGTTTTTGTGCAGCGCGTAGCACAAAGTTCTCCTGCCTAATTCTTTACAAATATTGCTATAATTATGGTCATGACTCCTGCTTTAGGCATGCCCTGTCTAATGAAAAATATAGGAGCAGCATTTTTAAATACGAGTACCACCATTTTGGCTCCTGAGTGTTGTATATTGAAACATACACAAAACTGGCAAATGGACCTTCATTCTCCAGACCTTTCACTTCCACTGGACATGGGGCATCTATATTGCCAGTCAGCTTTGCTGAAAATAAGGTGGTATTTATTTAGTTCCCTCGGGATGGGTTCAGAAGACTATGTGTAGTAGCCACAGATGATTCTTCCACGTGAACTGAAGCTGTTAGGGTTGTGTTACACCTTTCACAGTCTTTCACAACTGTCACCAAAAGGGGTGACACCTTGGTCCTGTGCTCTTGCTAATCATGATTTGGATGTGGCAGCGGTCTGGCTGTAGGGTTTGCTGGGCCAACCAGCTGCTCTCTGACAGCTCTGTGTAAAAAAAGAGCTGTCTTGCCATGGGATCATATTGTCAGTCTGACTTGCCTTCCAGGCCACAGCCAAGACATTCATCTAGAGGAAGAGGAGGGGAAGCACACAGTAATGCCACTTCTCATGGTTGCCCATGAGTCACCTGGCATGGGTGTAGGGGGAGTCCTCTCTCTCAGCCCGGCCCAGACCACCCTGTGTTTCTCCTTCGAGCTGCAGTCTTCCATGTATGGAGACCTGTTTTGTAAAGCTGCTCTGGGAAAGTCTGGAGGTGTGTGTAGGCACTGAATGGAAAGGCTGTTTAAGTAGCAAAGATAAAGTTTTTGTGACTCATAAATACAGTGGGGTTTGACTGGGCTAGTGATCAGATTGGTGACACTCTGCACGTAGTGCCTTTCTCTCAGGTTGCAGTTTCTAAGAAACATGAAGCTTCAGAGCATTTCTGAGAGGTGGATACATCATACCGTATGGCATGAAAGCAGTAAATAGCGAAGCTGAATTACTTGAAAAATGTGACAAAACCGATAGCATCATTTAGGGCAACTCTTGTACTGTGCAGCCAATCAAGGTCTGCTCCCAAACTGCTGAGATAAACTCATGAAACAGCTATCATCTAATGTGGGGCTTTCCGTCTCTACCTTTACTAGTCTGGACGTTCCATTTTTGGTAGAAGTTAACATTCTCTATGTTATAGTGCCTTAGCTGTTTTGTAATGTTAATATGCTAGGAGTAATCTGCCTTCTAAAAATGCATGTATGTTATGGTTTACA